TACATTAAATAAAACATGAGAGAGTGTATCACTGAACCTAAGCATTCTGCATCACAATATGTGATGTTGTGCATATCTCTAAGCACAGATGTAATTGGGAAACCTTTCCAAAGAATACCTATTTTAATCACAGATTAATCTGATCACTTTGTAAAAAAGATACAAACCTCAACCCCAGCTGCTGCTAACAGCCATCTGATTGACTCCATCTTCCCCCTTCCCTTGGTGTAGTGCAGCTTGGGTTTCCCCGCCATGATTTCAGAGTTCTTGTTGCCTGATAAATTCAAGATGATGATCTTAGAGGAAGCATTTTTAAAATTAGCATTTAAAATGTTACACTCCTGTCCTTGTTCCAGCAGGGATGAGCTTAATTTCCCCAAGGAGCCGGCAGGGGATGAAGGTATTCCATACGTGACCCATGCCCAGGCTATAAGAGGAGCTAGTCGGGGGAAGGGAAGGCAGTAACTGCTCGGGGGTGGGCTGCCACGGTCCGGGTCCAGTGGGTGAGTGGCGGTACTGTAATTGCATCTGTATATCCCTTTATTGGTGTTATTGTTATTGTTTTCTCTTCCCTTTGTCATTCTGTTAAACTGCCCTATCTCAACCCACGAGTTTTGCCTTTTTCTGCTGATTCATCCCCACGGCTGTGGGGGTTGAGTGAGCGGCCATGTGGTTCTTTGTTGCCGGCTGAGGCCAAACCATGACAACTCCAAACTACTAAATACAGTTGGGTGAATGTGAAAGTAGAAGGGCAATCAAGGCCTAGATACTTGGGCTTGATGCAATCAAGTTTCCTGTGGATTAGTGGAAAAAAAGAAAAAGTACACACTACCAGAATAAGCAGCAATTCAAAAAAGAATCATGACAGAATGTAATAAGCATCTACTAAATCATATACATATCTTTAAAATATTAGCATAGCTTTAAGAGCTCATGAGAGTTTTACAACCAAAGCAGAACCGTAGGGTACTCCTGAATAAATACATTTTTAACCTTGCAGCAATGCCATCTCTTCAGTAGGTGTTGGGTTTTGTGACAGCATCCATGTCATACCAGACTTGAAAACGTACTATGTCAAATGACTGACTTCACAAGAACACCAACCCAGAGACAGCAACGTTATTTTCACCTCTCTCATTATGACATTTCAGAGCCCTGTGCTCCTGTGCCTTCACAAACATGAGCTTACAACAGCAACATACATTCCAGCATATATTTCACCAGGCCTGCTGACTTCCATAGTTAGCTAGTTCCGGTTTGACCATTAGCCAAATCACAGTATATTCATTATACAGAATGTGGACCGACTTAAGACCTGTTCCAATTTTATGAACAACAGTTAAACTGTAATAGCGATTTACATCCTATTTGCCCTGAAAACTTAACTTTAAAATCAAAATCAAACAAATGAGACCTTGACCTCTGTTGGGCAGATAAAGCCTGGTCAATGTCCCCAGCAGCAGGGGGCTAAAGTCAGCCCACTGGATGATGGCACTGGGATGAAACACTTCGTTTCAAATTCAACTTCAACAAGTGCTGTCACATGCCATAGTATGAACTCAGCAGCTGATGTGAGCTTGCCTGATGCTGGAAACAAAGCTAACACTGTACTCTTACTGCTAATGGGTCCCAGAAGAATGAAGCGGATTTACTAAGACGACAGAGTCACAGACTAACAGAGTGCTTCACCATTAAGCCAAGGTTTTATCTGTTTACAGGCAGGCTTATTTATTCTTGCATAGACTTCACAGTGTGTAATTGAGCCACAAAATGGAAACTTTGGCATAATCCCAAAGGTCTCAATGAAGAGGCACAAGCAAACAGTCCAACGGTGAGATGGGAGACTACACTCCTGGCCTCCTCTACTTAAGTCCTTTGGGTCGGGTGGTATCTTCAATAGGCCCTATGGCAAACAGCCATTGCTCTACTAGAGGCTGGACTCACAGGAGAAACCTGGTGCCCCACTCCAAAATACAGGTCTTCAAAACCGCCGCTCAGCTTCTACCTAGCCCTGGCAATGCCTATATACCAGACACCTCAGTCTCTTGCAACAAAGTTGTCCTGATAGATAAATATGTGCTTTTTAATAAAGACTTGATTACGTCTGGATGGTTTAGAGCTGGCATCTAGTCTAGAGCTGCTGGATGCCTAGCTAGATTCCTAATACCTGAGCAGCAACAGGGTGCAGAAACAAGGCATTTAGATACTTAGCCTCGATGCCCTTGTGCCTTATCGCAGCTACTTCACCAGGCCCTACACATAGAAGACCGTGCGCAACCTGTGCTCCATTTCTAGTTCCTGTAAGCACGTGAGGGTTGCAAAGCACTTTGGTGACTCTCTTATTGCTCTGCAATGAATATCCCTTTATAAAGCAGTGTGTTGTGAAAGAGTAGCAAAGTTGCTAAATTATCTTCCTTGATTAGCAATAATGGACCTGAAATCACAAACTTTCTTGATGTTCTAGTGCATTGGACCTTCCTTGGACTTTACCCAGGCAGCCGTCAGAGTGACCGCTACCGCTGCGATCGCTGCTATTAAAAAATCACACTATTTCATCCAGAACAATTCAGGCACCAGCCTTCCAGTAAGAAGCATGTAAGCAAGTTTAACAGCAAGCTCATAATCTGCTGGAAAATCTTAAGACTTTCCTCCTAATTGTATGCGGACCCCAAAATAGTTCCCTGTGATGCTTTGCTCCCTGAACACAGACTGGCACTGGGCTGCTGGAGCAGACCGACCTCACAGCACAGGCCCTGCACCAGATGGAGCCCGGCTGGGTCTCCACACTGCCTTAAGACAGTAATTGCTCACCGGTGTGTGGTTTCTACGGTACTCAGGCCAAGCCCGGATTCAGAACGCGTTCCTCCCACCGCCCGGGCTAGGAGAAGCGTTTGAACGGGGCGAAAGGCAAATGACTCCTAGAGATTTAAAAAGTTTTAACTCCAAACAGCAATTCCTCTTCAGGTTGCCCGCTGATCCCACCCAGAGCCCGACACGAACCCCCTCCCACGCACACCCACCCGGCCCGCC